CCCTTGAGGCCCTTCTCTCCTTTCCCTTATGGCCCATTAAGGCCCATTACTTCCCCCGGCGAATTCCCGGACCTTTCCGGTACTCCGAAAAATACCCGAATCACTCGGAACCTTTCCGATGTCCGAATATAGCCTTCCAATATATCAATCTTTATGTCTCGACCATTTCGAGACTCCTCATCACGTCCACGATCTCATCCGGGACTCCGAACAAACTTCGGTCATCAAATCACATAACTCATAAATACAAATCGTCATCGAACGTTAAGCGTGCGGACCCTACGGGTTCGAGAACTATGTATACATGACGGAGACACATCTCCGGTCAATAACCAATAGCGGAACCTGGATGCTCATATTGGCTCCTACATATTCTACGAAGATCTTTATCGGTCAAACCGCATAACAACATACGTTGTTCCCTTTGTCATCGGTATGTTACTTGCCCGAGATTCGATCGTCATATCATCATACCTTATTCAATGTCGTTACCGACAAGTCTCTTTGCTCGTTCCGTAATACTTCATCCTGCAACTAACTTATTAGTCACAATGCTTGCAAGGCTTATAGTGATGAGTATTACAGAGAGGGCCCAAAGATACCTCTCTGAAACACGGAGTGACAAATCCTAATCTCGATCTATGCCAACCCAACAAACACCTTCGGAGACCCCTGTAGAGCACCTTTATAATCATCCATTTATGTTGTGACATTTGGTAGCACACAAAGTGTTCCTCCGCTATTCGGGAGTTGCATAATCTCATAGTCTGAGGAACTAAGTCATGAAGAGAGCAGTAGCAATGAAATTGTAACGATCATAATGCTAAGCTAACGGATGGGTCATGCCCATCACATCATTCTCCTAATGATGTAATCTCGTTCATCAAATAACAACACATGTCTATGGTTAGGAAACATAACCATCTTTGATTAACTAGCTAGTCAAGTAGAGGCATACTAGGGACACTATGTTTTGTCTGTATATTCACACATGTACTAAGTTTCCGGTTAATACAATTCTAGCATGAATAATAAACATTTATCATGAAATAAGGAAATAAATAATAACTTTATTATTGCCTCTAGGGCATATTTCCTTCAAGAGGGAGGGGGTAAGGCTTCTTGCTACGAGTCAAGGCTCCGCTTAGCCACGCAGCTCCAGCGCTCGCAGCTCTCCGCTATGGTTTCCCTCCGCCGCCGCCGGACCCTCCCGCCGCCGCCGGCCGTCGGGCGCGCGCCTCCCGGCCCCTCTCGCGCCCCCTTCCTCCTCCTCCCTCCTGGTCCCGCCCCTGCGCCGCCTCCCCGGGAGGTGGCCGGGGCGGCGCACCCCCTGCTCTCCCTCTCGGCCATCCCCGTCCTACAGCTCCTCCCCGCCGCCGCCGGCGGGCGCTCCCGGCGCTGGCTCAGGTGGTGTCGGCGGCGGCGGGACCTCCTGTCCCCGCGCGCGTGGTTCCCCTTCCGGGGCAGGTGACGGCGATGGTGCTACTCGGCTAGGCGGCGGCCCGGTGACTCGGCGGCGGGGGAGGTGGAGGTGCTGCCCCTTGGCGGTGGGGCGGCGTGGTGACATGCGGTGGCCGACAGCGTGCCCCCGCCCAGATCTGGCCCCTCCCGGCCCCATCCGGGTCCTAGCGGTCGAGCCGAGAGGAAGAGCCGACACCGACGCGGTGGTGCCTGAGGGTGCCGCCGGACCTTCCTGGAGGGCGTCGGGGGTACCCTTCCTCTCTCCTCGTCGCGTATCAGGGGAAACCCTTGGCAGCAGCGTCGTCATTGTCGCGTCCCTTCTTGGAGGTGTTGATTGGTGTCGACGCTTCGGAGTATAGGAGCTTAGTGGAGGATCCTCGATGGGCGCGGCGGTCGTGAAGCTTCTTCGTTTTTGTTGATCCGCCGGTGTCGGCATTTGTTTCTTTTCTTTTTGTCTTTCGTTTCTTTTGGGCGTGCATGTGCTGCTTCCGTCCCAGCACCTATCTGGTTGTATCGATGATGTTTGCTTTGTAATACAAATCAGGGAAACCCTATTTCGCCAAGGCTTTGCTACTATTGTGCTTCCATTGTTCATATGTCATTATATAGGTTCTTATACATTTATCCAAAAATTGAATTCAAACTTTGCTTCAGATTTGGCAGAAAATTGCCTCACGTTACCGTAGTAACCATCAATACCC